AATAATCATATTCCAACAATAACCAAGTTACTAACAACAATCCAATTGCAACATTTAAGTAAATTCATGGTTTATGTGGAATTTAGGCACTCTAAATTACTCATCCAAAATTTACCAAATTTCATGCATTAATTAGAGCATAAGCGCAATATATTAAACATGCAATCACTTACATAATCAACATTCACATGCCATAATCAATTAAGGTCCAAAGATTTAAAATTTACTCATTCTAAACGAAAAACCCTCTAAAAACACGTTTCTAGGTGAATTTTGGCTTTTGGAAGCCATTTTTTAATTACTTTGTGGGTAAACATTGATTTTGAATGCATTTTCCACCCAACAATCCCTAGTTTTTCGTCAGAATCTGGGTTCATAAACACATTCCAGCATTAATCTGATTTTCATCTAATAAAAACCGAACCCCTAATCTAATTAGGTACTAATCCAGATTTTTAAATCCAATTTTCAATCTCCTTAATTAATTTTAGTCGTAAAAATTAAATATGAAAGGCTCGTGATAGCGCTGTTGGATTTTATAGTGTTCTAAACACTGTGCGGAAACCAAAACCTGCCTCGGACCCATGTATAATTAATAAGACAAAAGGCATAAACATAAACACATAATCACATTAATGGGATGAGAGATTATACCCTTGATGTGTGCTTCACAGTTACCACGAACACGATATTTGAACACCGCGGCTTCGGAGCAAGAATCACAAATGGCAATTCCTACAACGTCGTCCACCCTCGTTCCCAAACTTGGTCGTGATTTAGTGGCTTAGACCAAATCACAACACTACTAAGAAATTCGTACTCAATCTTTTCTCACTTTGAAGGAGATCCTTTAAAGTCAAACTTTCTTCCAAATCCCTAAAAACTCATGGGTTATTTATAGAGGTAGGATCACCATAAAAAAAAAAACCCTAGATAATTAATTTGCTTCTAAATTAAATAAGATAGCTTGAACAAATAATCAAACAACACTTGTCCATCTCTCATGGGGGTTAGGTGAGGACCACTCCTCCTCTCTTGGAGAGCAAGCTAAGGAGAAAACCCCAATTTAAACTTTCTCTTGACTGGCCCCAACCATGGGCCTCAATGGCAAGCCCAACCGGCTTCTTTTTCCCACGGTTTGGTTACTATGGTCTTGCAGCCCCACGCACATAGCAGCAGCACACATAGCCATGTTGGGTGCTATTTTGCGGCAGCCCACGCATTAGCATGCTCGGCGTTGCTATACGACATCCGGGCTGTTGCATGAGGCCTGCTGAGCCAGCCTTGGTAGTGCGCATGGCATGCCGGGCTGCCTGCCTTACTTGCACTTGTGCGGTTGGCAGTCCATGGCCTTAGCCCTCGCATGGTTAGTACCATGCAAGGACAATGCGAGGCTATGGCTTGGGTTTTTGCTTAGTGTCAAGTTGTTTAACTTATTTTCTCGTCTCTTCGATTCCTAGAATCGACTCGACTCGACTTTTGACGCTCGATTTCGACGCTTTAAGCTCGGTATTCGACGTTTGAGTCCGAAATATATTTATTAACGTATTAATGCCTTTTCCCTTAATCTGTCGCCTTAGTTTGGTTACGCGATTGGGTGTGACCCGTTGGGTTCAGTCAAGAGCAAATTGTGATATTAATTATATTAATCTCACTGATCGGAAGCGGCCTCCAGCCAGGCATTCCGATCACTTGGCTTCACTGAATAATTACCTCTGTAATTAATTCGGAACCTCTATCGGAATAATACACTTGTTCGAAGGACACCATTCCTTTTAGAGACAAAGCGTGACGAGCGGGTGTTGGCCTTCCTATTCCCATCCCCACCTAAATTTTTCATCCCCATCCCCATCCCCATCTTCATCCCCGCGGAGGGTCCAAAATTAATCTCCATCCCCTCCCCGACGGGTACAATTCCAAAACCATCCCTGCCCCACCCCTCACTTGGATATCCACCCCCACCTAATCCCCACCCAAGACCCGTCTAATCCCCGCCTAGGGTTGTTTATCGGTCCAAGATCAAACCGGACCGACCGGCCCGGATCGAAGACCAAAAATTTAAATTTCAAGAACAGAAGACCAGACCGATTAAGCAGGGACCAAACCCGGATCGGAACGAAAAAAATCGGTCCAAAATTCGAACCAGACAGCTTTAGACCGATTTTCAAATTTAAAAAATTAAACTAAATTTTCAATAATTTTATGGAAAACTTGGAAAAATGAATGAAAAACAATATTTTAACGTCTTTTTTACGTATGTTTTGAACAAAAAAGCTCATACAATCAAAGTTTTCTAATCTTATTAAGGATAATCTTAATCATTATTTAAGGTTTTATGCATAATTTTAAGCAAAAAATCGGTCTGGTCCAAGACCGGTTTATATAGGGTTTTGGACCGGACCAGATCAAACACCGGAAAAATAAAATTTTCAATCCGGAGATCGGACCAGTTAATTCGGTTTGGTCCGATGCGAGGTCGGACCGGTCCATTTTTTTGGTTCAGATCGATTTTTGAACACCCCTATCCCCGCCTCCCAAATACACAATCGATCCTACATAATTAATATAGGTTACAAATAAAAAAAAAAAAGTCATTGTTAATATTACACACTTTTTTGTTTATAATATAAGTGTATTACAAAGTATTATATTTAATATTTTTATTTTACATAATTTTTTTTTATAGAATAGTATAATAGTATATAAATTTGTTTTTAAATACATATAGATGTGGGTATGGGGTGGGATGGGGCGGGTATGAAGACGGGTGGGTGGGGCAGGGAGGGGATAGGGTGGGTACAACCTAAAATTCAACCCCGCCCCATCACCCATACGGCGAGTATGATTTTTATCCCTAAAAACTCACTAGAGCGAGGATGGGGCAGTTCTCTTACTTGACCCACCCCACTGATATCCCTATGTACGTCCTTACTCACCCAACATTAATTAAATTGCAAAAATTAATTTACAACAAATTAAAGGATATAATTGAACTAATGCTTTTTTTTTTTTTTTTTTTTTTTAAAAAAAGTTAAATAACATAGCAATTGATTTTTTGGAAATATATATTTTCAACAGACAAAGGTATTAGATTGTATAAAAAGTTGAATACTTGACATTCATCATATTACCATGGCATTAATGCATGTCTCATGTGAGTAATCTTTGCTTCTTGTGATGAGCCATTGGCCAGCCCTACTTGTGATGATGATGAACCACAAATTAAGCAATAATATAGGGGATTCTAATAACAAGTTAACCAAACAAACGGGATACTAATAACAAGTTAACAACTATAGTTTGTTACTATAATTTTCATACAAATAAAAATCGTGACTAGTATGATTCCATGCCTAATCTTAGGTTGGAAAATTAGTTATTAGTCAATCATGACCAATAACTCAATGAGTCATCATTAAAATTGTCCAAATTAATTATCATATTAGTCATGATATATAATAAATTATAGTAATACTAATCTACTTATGACATATACCATAAATCATAATATATAAAATTCAGTATAATTATTTATTTAATAGAGCTTAATAAATTTAATTAAAACTAATTGGAGCTTATTAGTTTTAATTAACTTATTTGGATTTATTAAAACTAATTAAAATAAATTGGACCTAATCGGGCCAATTGACCATATTGGTATAAGATTTAGCACCTTGGTGACATATTGGTATAAAAATTAGCATCGGCGATAAATTGGTAAAAAAGTTAACAAACAGTGACATATTGGTATAAAAATTAACAAGTTGTGACATTTAACCATTATTTTCTTGCCGGAGTAAGTGCTTAATTATCATTTTAATTTTAATTTTTGATAATGTTTTCGTTGTTGTTAATACTCATTACTAACAACAAATAATTCTCTCCTCCACGCCCATGCACCTAAGATTATTGGCAAATAGTAACAAAAAAAAAAAGGAAAATTTGTTAGAATAAACCTTTTAAAAACACCATTTTGAGGAAAAAAAAAAACCTTTTAAAAGCTTTGTGCGTGTCATCCTTGCGCAGGGGCCATGCTAATCTTCTCTGTATCGTTCCAATTTTATCAGATGTCTCCGAAGAGACGGTGGGGATCGTGATTATTGTAATACGTTTGTAGCTTCATTGAGTCAGAATTAATCATGATTATTATATTGATAAATGTTGTATGAATCATCACAATTAAAAACTAACAGTGTTGTGTGTGAATTATTCTCCCTTTAATTATACCATTTTTGTTAATTGGTTGGATTTCTTTACATTCATTTTAGAATTTATTTTCTTAAATGGTCAATTTGCATTATTTTTCACATATGATTTCTATCATAAGAGCTTCCCTCCCGATTTCAGGGGATCCTGGGATCGATTCTCACCCCCGCCTTTGTGGCTCTCTAAATACCCAAAAAAAAAAATAGAAATTCGTTTGTTAACTAGACAATTTAATTTGTTTGATGACTAGAAATACTTGGGCACAAATTTTTAAATTAAAAAAAAAATTGCGTGTACAATAATTATTGTACATGTACCCCTGAAATTATCATTGTAAAGTTGCTTTAAAATGATCAAAATTACCCCTGAAATGAATAAAAGTTACCCAAATATGTACAAAAGTTATCAATGCTTTATTGATCAAGTAAGACACTTTAAATGACTAAATATCAAATCTTAGTGATTATTAAAGTAATTACATTACCCTTACAAAAACATATCCTATTGTCTATTTACAATAAAATCGTATCAGATTTAAAGTTACCCAAAAATAGCAAAAAGTTATCTTAATTGGCTAAAAGTTACCCTAATATTGTTCGGTGTACACTATACTAACATTGAGTGTAAAAAATAGTTTTTGATATTTTGGGGATCTTCGCTCTGGAAAACAATATAGCCTACTTTTGTTGAGGTTTGTAGTAGAATGTCTAACTAACAAGTAAATGGACATAATTTTGTAATAATTTCCAATGCGTATAAAGTTTTGCATCGAAGGAATTCCCCAACTATAATCCTCAGGCATTTGCTCCCCTAGGTTCAACTTTAGGGTTGTGTTGTTGAATAATTAAAACTGAGGCGGTAGTGGAAAAATTAGGTCCAGATAAAATATCTCTTAAAGGCCCTAATTCTGGACATTGCTCCCAATCATTCATCCCCATTGTCAACATTGAATTGACCCGACCTCCTCGGCCCACAATGAAAAGTCCATATTGCCCTTCTAATGATTGTAATGTAGTGTACACTTGTGCTAAATTGACCAAATGTTTCTCCAAGTAGGACACATTTCCTCCTGCAATATGCTTCTCATAAAATTTTGCAAAGCATTCATCATCGAGCTCCATCTCTTCTTCTTGCTGATATGTTTTTCTCGTATTATTATTCTCTACATCAGAATCTACTAGAAATCTCATGACTGTGAGCTTCACTCCACGCTGGTAAGCAATACGACTTGCATAGGCTAATGCTTCTCTATCATCTTTGCCTCCAATAAATATAACGACAGTATTCAAAGCGCTGCTTAATGACTTTAATATTTGGTTGCTTGCACCAAAACCTCGATCCACCATGATTGCTATAGAGCATGGGGCATTGCGAAGTACCTAATATATACTCAACAAAAAGTGAAATAGGGTGAGTGAAGCATTTAGGAATAGTCTCAAATCTTGATATTTATATACACTCAAATCAAGCATTACCTTGCGATTAACATATCTAAATCCTGCAAGTTTGGAATCTGTATGTTCGTCAATTGGAGGACCATTATGAAATGGAAGTACAATTAAGCTTATTATTGAATCCTCTGCTAAGTTGCAAATTTTTTGGTGCATGGTGTTGTAAGTGGCTAAGGCCATGGCTCTCCGAAGGGTGATTCCATCTCCGTTATTCTGAATATACTCTTGTAGTGCAGTGGTGATTTGCTCTCTGATTCGGATTACTTTTGAATCTGTCACCTCTACACTATCTATTTCTCCTGGAACTAATGTGTCAGCAATTTGGTATGTGAGTTCTACCATGTCAGTAGCATATACTAATATGCCTGGGTCACCTGTCCCCTTGGAGATCTCCATGAAATTTATGGCACAAGGAACATTTTCGGGTCCATGGAAGCATAGTAGGATTCGAAGCTCTTCAGTAGGATTATGCCACTGTAGTGCTAAAGGTTGCTTTGGCAACCGTTTCCTAGCACGTTGAATGATGTATTGTGCAACCATTGGGATGTATACAATCTTGAGGAGCATTGCTAATAGCAAGCCAATACACGTAGAATAAGTGATAATGTTTTTCTGCAAACACCCATTACAAGAAGCACATGAGATTAGAAGGAATTGTGCATCCTATGATGATGATATTACATAATTCTTTTTGAACTATTCAATATAATAAGGTCAGAGTTAATATGTAAAAAAAATGTTTGAATAACACATACCTTCATAGCAATAATAGCCACATATATGTGTAAATGGCCTTTGACATTCAAAAGTGATGCAAGCATTATAGAATCACGCCATTGAATTCCAAAAAGAAACCCAGATAGAAGAGCACCAGTGATTTTTCCAATTGTTCCGACGGCAAAAAAACCAAACAACTTTGCCCAAGAGCTTAAGGTTCGAATTTGAAATCGGTCAAATTGTGCTTCTGATCCAACCCACACAAAAAAAGTATGGGTAAAACACAAAAGTTAAGAGGTAATTGACTTTACTAACAATAAATTGTGAAATCCTCCCTTCTCGAGGCAAAAACACCCCGGTAATAAAGGCACTAAGCACAGGACTAAAGCCTGTAAGTGGTGAAATACAACCAAGACACACTGCAAATGCAACAGAGAGCACTAAATGTGAGCCTTTAAGTGCCTTGCCGTAGGGGTTAGCATTATTGACCCAGCTAAAAACAAGAGGTTCTGCCACAGTTTATACTCTAATTTCATCTCATTTCTTCAAATTAACCTCTAACCCACCAAATTACTAAATAATTAAATTTAATTCATATATAAAAAAATCCACCACCCCCAACCATTTCCTCCTCCCTTTCCCCCTCCCTTCGCAGCAACCCCCTCCCCTACCGGACCTGCCGCCCAGTTTCCCCCACCTCCGATGACCTAACTCTATCGGGTGGTGGTTTTTTTTATATATAAATTAAATCTAATTAGTTATTAATTTGGTGGGTTAGAGGTTAATTAGAAGAAATGGAAGGAAATTAGAGTTTAATTAAGTTAATTAGAGGGTAATTAAGAAAATAGGTTTCCTCTTGCAAATAAAATGAAGGTGGTGGTTTTTTTTAACCAAAAAGCTTATAAAAGTTTTTTTTTTTCACAAAATGATGCTTTTAAAAGGTTTTTCCTAACAAATTTTCCAAAAAAAATTGTAAGATCAAACAAAAACCTCATTAAATAGAAGGAAAATTGGCATGTTAGTTAAATAATTAAGAAGTTGGGAAAACTTTATTTATATAATATTGAATATTGCAATGAAATTGAAAGCTTAATATAATCTCAAATATATGTAATCAAAGCTTAATCTTTTAATTTTTCTTGATGAAATTCTACACATAATCTTTATTTTTCTTTTTTTGATGCAAATGAGGGCCAAGCCCATACAAAATAAAAGAAACTACGAAATGAAACGAGGCCTAGCTACCCCTGAAATGTCCTCCCTAAGAGCGTTACTTATTTCGATAGGAGGAACCTCAAAATAAGTCACACTCTCAGTTTGGTTAACACCTAAGTTTGGTAGTACATCAGCAACCCTATTCCCCTCCATATAACAATGAACAATATGAAAGAAACTACCAAAATTAGCGATTAAAGAACGACACACCCTAAGAATATGCACGCATTCCCCTCAAAGATCTTCATTTAAAATTGCTTCAACACTAGCCTTGTTGTCTAACTTAAAGAATAATCAGCTTGGTAATACCCATGTTTACAGCCATTTTAAGCCCCAGAGTAGCAGCTTTTACTTCTGCCTTGAAAGTGGTACAACTTCCAAACTTTGCTGTGAAACCTCGCACAAATCTGCCTTCATAATCCCGAATGACACCTCCTCCACCAACTAGCCCAGGGAAACCTTTGGCAGCCCCATCTATATTAAGGGTCAACCAACCAATCGGAGGAGCTTTCCAATTCACAAAGATTTCTCTTTTATTAACTACAGAATTAGCACCCTTGATGTCACTCGTATCCTTCATGAAGGTATTCCAAGCAATGGCGGATGTAGAAATTTTAGTTTGGAGGGGCACTTAGAACAAAAAAAAAAAAAAAAAAAAAGAATTAATAAGAAAAATGCTTGTTCTAAGGATTGAACCTAAGACCAAACATAAGGCATATGCATTACCAGTGAGACAAAGCTAGTTTAATATCACATATTGCATTAAAAATTGTATTTAACCTCTTAAATTGCACATAAAAAAATTAAAAAAATCTGATTTTTGGTGGGGCCTGTGCCACCAAGGCCCCACTGTAGATCCGCCATTGATCCCAAGTTTCCTCAACCCGAGTCCTTAGAAATGCCCCTATCTCAGTTGGAATTTCTTCTTGCCTTCCAAAGCTCACATTGTTGCGCCACTTCCATACCCACCATAGAGTGACTGCAAAGCAAGTCGTCCACTTTTCACAGAAGATGAGACCTTCAGCTTTCAAATTTCGAGATAGCCAACTCTGTTCATCCCTTATATAGAAGGAAGGATAATTTGTAGAGCTACCAACACTACTAGCACCAATATTCTTCGTTGCAGGGCAGTCACGAAGCAGATGTAGCAGAGTTTCATCTGCATTCCAAGAGCAACGTTGGCAACGAGGATCATCTGTTAAATTTCTCTTTAGCCTCTTAGCATTACAAAGCAGCCTATCATGAAATGCTAGCCATAGAAAGACTATTTCTTTTTTGCATCGGAGCTTTCCATGCAAGATCCCATTTTGGATCTCTCAAAGCTTCATTATCATCCCGTATTAAATTCATGGCACAGCTAATGGAGAATTTTCCAGATTTCGATCCTCTCCAATAGCGGAGGTCACAAATTTCAGGATTCTCAACAATGTTATGTGCAGCAATATGAAGCAAGGCTTCATTAGGCAGTAAATTGGCGAAGGAATCCCACTTCCAGCCCACTCCTGCTTCCCACAATTCACTAACAATCGCACCATCTATGTCCCCTTGAATCTCAGCAGTAGCTAGTTCACGAAGAGGGACGCTCATGGCCCATCAATGATCCCAAAATAAAGTAGTCTGACCATTCCCAATTGCCACCCTGAGCCTTTCTTAATCCAGTTTGCATTGTCTGTTATTCCTCTCCATACATTAGACATATTAGAAGAAGGGACAAACATGTCGATGTCACATCGTCCTTTACAATATTTATGTCGCAGAACCCGAGACCAAAGAGCATTCGGCTCTGCCAAAACTCTCCAACCAAGCTTCGTAAGGAAGGCTGAATTTGACTGCCTCGCAAACCTAATCCCAAGCCCACCCTTGTCTCGAGGTCTTTGTAAGGTATCCCAGGATAGAAGGTGATTGCAATTTTTCTCCTCATTACCACCCCAAATAAATCTCCGCGTTTTTTTTTATCAATTTCATCACAAATTGAACGAGGGATTTTAGCCGTTTGCATTGAATAACTAGCCATGGTCGTGATGGGGAACTTAGCAAGAGTAACTCTTCCCGCAAGTGATAGATACTTCGTCTTCCACCCTGTGAGTTTCCTGTCAATTTTCTCACACAAGTGAGCATAAGTACCTCTATAGACTCGGTTGGTTATCGTTGGTACTCCAAGGTAGAGACCAAGATCCTCCGTCTTCTCCATACCCAAGCGTTCACTGATTAACACTTGGTCTTCAAGAGTGACACTGCGAGAAAAATAAACTCCTGACTTTTGCTTGATGACCTTCTGACCAGAGACCGTGAAAAAGCGATCCAAACAATCTGTGATGACCTCAGCCTTCTCCAAAGAGGCCTCAGCAAATAGAATTAAATAGTTAGCAAAGAAAAGGTTCGGAAGCAGTGGGCCACCTCTACTTGCATAGATCAGTTTCCACCTTCCCGCAATGATAGCTTCCTCAATGACTTGATTAAGTCTCTCCATACAAATCATGAATAGGTATGGTGATAGAGAATCACCTTGCCTTATTCCCCGAGTTGTGTAAAAAGGTTCGGATTTCTCTCCATTCCATAAAACTCTCAGTAGTAGATGAAACACATTCCATAATCGTGTTAATCATGAGAATTGGAAAATTCATCTCAAGAAGAGTGTCTTGAATGAATTTCCACTTCAGTCGGTCGTATGCCTTTTCAAAATCAATCTTAATAGTCATATATCCCTTCTTTCCTTGTTTACGTTTCATAGTATGAAGGACTTCTTGAACTATGACTATTAATGTGTGCCATTTATGACACTCATTTGATGAGTTTTTAGGTTGTTTTAACCTTCTTTTTATAACTTTCTTTCTTAATAAATGCTTAGTTTTGTTCATTTGCTATTTAATTTCCTTATTCTTCCTTATTTATGTTTTCGTCCACTTTTGTGGATTTTCTAGTGTTTTTCCTTTTATTTGTTTTGTTCCTTTGCTTTTAGGTTTAAGGAAAAGCTCGAGACCCATCACGATGATTCTCTTGGTTGGAAGAGGCTCACGGTGCAAAGTGGAAGCTTACTTATGGCTCACAAAGCAAGAGATGGCTTACTCCAAGACTTAATGCTTGCGTTGTCATGCTGCGCTCTTATTAATTAATGGTGTTGAACCCACCGTAAACTTCATTTCAAATCTGCCATGCCTAGTGACGATCATGAGGAGCGCACCATGTACATCACGAAAGCACCAAAGGAAGTCCCCTACTCCAGCCGCGTAGGCGCGCAGGAAAGAACCGTCATGCCACTGCAGCTCTTAATTGTGCAGGAAGTTAGATTTCAACAGGTTGATTGCGCGGAGGATGGCACGACCTTTGCGCGGGCGCGCACCAGGTCTGCGCGAGCGCGCCACTGAGATCTCTGTTTCCGTACCCTAATTATCGCGAGTGCGCAAGCTCGTGAGAGGTCGCGCCCGGTTGGGTCTATTTCGGGATTTTGCCTTATTCCTTCGTAGTTAGTTATACTATAAATAGTTTTTCTCTATTATTTCTTAATTAAGTAATTAAGAAATTAATTCTTAGCTTAGTTGAGAGTTTCTCTCTAGTTTAGGGTTAGTTTTAGGAGTAGTTTTAGAAAGAGAAAGTGAGGGATTTCAATGGTGATTTGAGAGATTGAAGATGCAAGGGTGACAATAGTATTGAATATCTTCTCAATGAGCATTTCTTACTCTATCTCATCTTATTGTTTTCTTTAATTTCATGTTTGTTTGATTTGATTTTGATGATTGATTCTTGATTAGAGTAGTTGTTCTTCATGTTTGGTTGATTCTTGATTTCATTTACTAGCCTTGATTTGATGATGATTGTTAGTGAGTAGTTGCTTTGCTAGGGTTTGGGTTAAACCTGTATGATTGTGATTAATTTTGGAATTATGTTGATTACTTGATTGTTGAGATTAAAGTGATTAATGGAAGTTTGAATGTGCTTAGTTTGATTAGGTCTTAAGAACTAGGCTAGATTGCATTGTATATCCTAATGACATGACCACTTAATTTAAGATTTGCAATTGTTGATTGGTTTGAATTGTGATTCTCCTAGTTTGTTATTCATAGAGGAAACCTAGCTTGACAATTAGGAGATAACTCTTTGATTCCAATTGATAGCTATTATCATTTGTCTTCACAACCATTGATTGGCTTAACCTTCCAAATTATTGTAATTGTCATGATTAATTGTTGATCCCCATTTCCTAGTATTTCATTCTTTGATTCTTGTTTGTTTTGGTAGTTGTATAGTCTTTCCTCACCTTCAACTTCGACCTAGCTTAGGCATTGATTGAAAGCACTTGAATATAATCGTTCCTAGTTGTTGGACCCTTGACTTACCTTTATATTTGTATTTAGGTTTGTTAAATGATTATAAATTGTGTGTGGCTCTAAGGAGGATTAGTCAACGACCTAATTCACCCTATGTCAACTATGTTTTCAGTAATTTGCCGACCTGAAATAAAGTTGGACTGAGCATGAGATATAATCTTCGGGAGTAAAGGTTTAATCCGGTTCACAATTGCTTTCGTGATGATTTTGTATGCGACATTGCAAAGACCTATGGGCCTAAATTGGGAAGGAAGTTCCGGTTTATCCACCTTTGGAAGAAGAACCAGAAAAATCTCATTTAAATCCTCAAGTAACGCTTTGCCTTCTAATACTGACAAGACGAGATAATACACAATCGGTGCCACAATATCCCAATTCTTCTGGTAAAACAAGGCTTGAAAACCATCGGACCCGGGGCTTTGAGAGCACCCATATTCCGAGTTACATAGTCCACATCACACTTTGAGTAAGGTCTGTTCAACTTATTCCACTCCTCAGCAGAAAATCCAGTACACATACTTGATGGTATGCGCGCATCTTCCACCATTCCTTCATCAGTGAACAGGTTGGCAAAGTACTCCACCACCAACTGCTTTACCGTCTCCTTTTCATATATCCATTGGCCTTCATCATTTTTTATGGCAATAATTTTATTTCTCCGAAAATCGAAAAATTAAAATTAAACAGTTACATTTAACGGAAGGTTTTGCCGGCAAGTGGTGAAAAACAATTATTGATTTTTTTTTTACGGGGACCATATGAGGATCGAAAAGTTATATCCTAAAACCTTACCAACAATAAAGTTAGGCCGGTCAGCAAATACGATGTCGTTTTTGTTGAGGCATTCCTCGACGGCTGATGGAGAAGAGATAACCAAAAGGGGCTGGAAGCCCAAACGTAGAGAGAAGATTGGGCCATAACGTTCGGAGAGGGTTAGGAGTGTTTTGTGGAAGGGGGACTTGAGTAGTTGTAGGTGGCCCCATATAGGAATTGATGGTGGACTTGGTGGGAGGTTCTTGTTCTTTGCTTTAGAAGGCTGAAGGATTTTGTAAAGGAAGATTATTATTGCAAAGAGAAATGGGAACAAGTACATTTTCTCCATTTCCATGGGTTTTTGTTTTATGAATATGGATGTTTGTGATAAGGGTATCGTTACATTTGAAAGTGGAAGAGAGTATATATAATCGAAAGGGCAAAAGTTCACGATATTAGGCAATAAAAAAATCTGTGGCCTTAGGTGCTGGTCAAAGATGAT